TGAATCACTTGAGAGAGGCGTTATAGAGGGTGTTTTTTTGTTGTCAGGGGATCTAAATAAATAATGTAAAGCCCTTTATTGTTCCACAATAGGGAAATTTATTCTTTGCATTTTGACCCATCCCCTTGAGGAGCAGTAGGCGGCCATTGTGCGGCGCCCAGGGAGCAATCAAACCTTCTTAAAGCATAATTGCACTGCTCTATCCCACTAGGCCAACACTGCCCTACTAATCTAGAACAAAACTCTCAGAAAACTGTAAAAGTACTGAAAGCCTGAGTTGCTTGAATGGGAGATTAAGAGTGTAATTGTTAATAGCCGCCCGACTGTGCTAGCTAAAAATTTTTTATCAATCGTTTCATTTTTTTTATCCAACCATCTTATTTTAATTGTTTTTATTCTTTTATAATCTTCGTTGAGTTTATGCTACTATTATATACTTTTTCCCCCCCCTCATTTAAAGTGCTTTTAATTGTCGTGCCACTGAAATGTGACTTATGAAACTTTTTTCTTTGCCTTGGCTCAGAGCTCAGAGCAGCCAGTCCCAAGGACCCGCAGTGTCACTCTGCTACACTTCTCTCTCCCCTTTCTTCTTCCACTGCACACTGACAGGTATGCAATGGAAGAAGAAACTGCTCCAGGCACCCTTCAAGATTTTGTTTCTTTTTTTTGTAAAGCTAGAGGGCAAACATGTCCAACAATGCCATGGCAGTGTGAAAAATAAAGGAATTTGTCTTAAGAAATATAGTAATATAGTAGTTCGCCAAACTTTAAAAAAAAAACTGTGTGGCTTGAAATAAGGCCATGGTCAGCTTAAGTATGGGGCGGCTTAAAATCACTCCACTATGGTTTGTTTTGTCTGAAAGAAAGGCTGACATTTTTACTTTATTTTAAAAAAAAATATATATATATATAGATATATATATATATATCTATATATATATATAGATATATATTTGTCTTTTTCTGGTTGAGTTTCACAAACTGCATTCTTTTCAAATTTGAGTTTTACACATTGCATTCTCTTCACTTGAGACACCATGTCTTTTCTCCCAACCTGTTTACATTTGATCACTGCTGCACTTTATGGAATTGAAATGTTTCTGATATACACTCAGTGTAAACAAAAGGACAATAAAAGTTGTCTAAGTCAAAGTCACTTCGAGCCCGAATCACATGCTAATGCTTGACACACATATTGACAAATAAAAACATTGCTAACATCCAGCAGACCAATAGAGATGCGTCCTTACTATTACTTTTAAACTATTAATTCAATTCAATTCAGTTTATTTATATAGCGCCAAATTCACAACACAGTGTGAGCGGCCATCTGCTGAGGACGACTGGGGTTCAAGGAGACAGAAGCAGATAGAAAAAGCAGCTGTAAAAGGCGGCCCCGTCCAGGAAACTGTTATATTGTTTAACAGAGACCTGGATGAATTTCTGGTTTCCTATGCACAAATAAGCTAATGAGCGGATTGGGAAACAGCAGTGGGGGAAAAAGCACATCATAAATCCAGCTATTTTGTTCCAGATACTGCCTCCCATTACAGATGCTGGATCTTACAGATTTAAACCGCCCTGCTGATGCAGCACCTCCTGTAAACATCCCTAGTAACAACAAGTGGAGCCCCAGTGATGTGCTGGGTGGTTTCAGCTCAATCCATCTTACCAGGATGGAGAAGTGAGATGCTCGTGGTTCCCGTGAATGTGAGTAGGTGACGGAATGCCAGGTTCTCTAAAGGCGACCCCCCGCCTCCCTGTAGGCAGACTCATGTTATTCATGATGAAGCCAATCACTGCCGTTTCCTCAGTGAACCTAGTCATGATGTTTGAACCATGTACGCATTTCCAATGTTGGTGTTAGAGATCAGAAAAGCTGGCTATTTTTTTTGTTTTTTTTATAACTTGTCCAGCTTTACTCTCTTTTCAGCCTTATTGTGCTGTTTTCCTCTGAGGTAAAGTATATGAATACAAATCAGGAGATAATGAGGGCTAATCACGAATTTACAAGTAAAAATAGGGGATTTACAGGTACGAATAACATATATAAAAAAATGTGTGAGTATAAAGTACAAATCGCAAACTTACAAGTATGAATTACAAATTTTGTTTATTTAAATTACTGCCACCAACTGGAAAGGAGTGTAAGAGCTTCATTACTTGTTCATTAATATTTGTGACCAACACTATTTTACTTTCCCTATATTTCTGAGAAATATGGCAATTAAGGCATGGCCAAGGAGAAGTTTATACAAACCTTTTACATTTAATAAAACTTATATTTGAAACGATGTTCCAATAGCGTCGGGTTCATAAATGTAGGTTTTTGCAAGAAGAACTGAAATACACAATAATGGATACAATTTCTGCAGAAAG